CCCACTTGTTCCCGTGGTCGTCTGTTCATGTCAGTCCGGCTCTCACACGTGTCTGTTCCCGGGGTGGTGGCCAGGCTGGGCCGGAGGGCCGGGGTGCTGAGCCTGTGTCCCCCCACCCCCTGCAGTTCTTCGTGTTGCTGCTGCTGGTGTTCCTGCTGGAGGTCACTGTCACCGTCCTCTTCTTCGCCTACACCGACAAGGTCAGCCCCTCGGCCACCAGCTCCTGGGGCTCCGTATGCGTGGGCGCTCAGCTGGCTCCGGCTCTTTGGGGACCACGTCCTTTTTCCTGGCACCACAGACGCCCTCCTTTCCTGGAGGGTCTTAGGGACGGAGCCTGGTGTGCTCCTTGCTCGGGGTGTTGGAGCCGCAAGGCCCCTCAGCCGATGGCATGGTGTGTGTGCTGACCGCTGGGCACCCAGCTCGGAGTCTGTGTACCTGTCTGTATGTCCAGCTGAGCTCGGGCTGCTGTGTCCGACTCTAATCCAGTGCTCAGCACCCAGGGGCCGGACACGGCAGAACAAAGGCCTGTGCTGCACAGGGAGGCCCCGCTGACCACACGGCCCCTGCAGATCGACAGGTATGCGCAGCGCGATCTGAAGAAGGGCCTGCACCTGTACGGCACCCCGGGCAATGTGGGGCTCACCAACGCCTGGAGCATCATCCAGACCGACGTGAGGGGGCCCGGCTGTGGGGCAGGAGGCCTGGCGGGTGGGGCGTGGCTGGACCTGTGGGCGGGATGTGCGGTGTGGGCCCCTCAGCGAGATCCCGCCTGGTGCCTCCTGCAGTTCCGCTGCTGCGGTGTCTCCAACTACACGGACTGGTTCGAGGTGTACAATGCCACGCGCGTGCCCGACTCCTGCTGCCTGGAGTTCAGTGAGAGCTGCGGGCTGCATGCCCCCGGCACCTGGTGGAAGGCGGTGAGCCCGCGCCCGTCCCGTCTGTCTGCTGGTTTGGCCCCAGGACCTGTGGGTAGAGGGCCAGCCTCGCAGCAGTGCGCACGGTGACACCTCCCCCCCTTTCTCCAGCCGTGCTACGAGACGGTGAAGATGTGGCTCCAGGAGAACCTGCTGGCCGTGGGCGTCTTTGGGCTGTGCACGGCGCTGGTGCAGGTATGGAGGGCGCCCCAGGGAACAAAGCCGCAGATGCCCTGCCCCCGTGGAGCCCCGTCCCCAGGAGGAGGTGGGTCCGTGCGGGTGGACAGGGAGCCTCCATGAGCGAAGTGGAGGAGGTGCAGCCTGGACGCCTGTGTGAGGACCCTGGGCACTCCCAGCCCTGTTCCTGCAGCCCCTGCCCAGCGGGTGGTGCTCACAGGGCTGCCCAGGCCCTGACGGCAGGTCCAGCTGGGGCTCTACCCCTGGTTCCGTGGAATCCTGAGTGTCTGCATCTGGGGGCTAAGCCGTGTCAGTAACCTTGGTCATCAGGGCAGCCACCGTTCCTGGGTCGAAGCCAGAGCCGATGAACATGCGGAAGTGACGATCACAGTTGGATGAATGGGCAAGGGGCAGGGTGCTGGGGCCGGCAGGTGGGCGCTGGCCCTGAGGCCGCCTGCAGAGCCCAGGCTGGCCATGCCAGGGAGAGGCGGGCCTGGGC